TCAGTTGCAGAGCTTGCAATTGCAGATCCTGGTTTCTACCAAGAGATTAAAAAATCTAACAAGGAAACCCTTCTTGATTTTGCCAGAAGGTGCAATGCAATGATGTCTGCTACTACGAAGCAAAAAATAGATGAAATGAAAAAAAAATAATGAGCTCTTTATTTTTAGCTCTTTATAACCCTTTCGCTAAGCCCCGCCCTCCTTAGTTACTGTTGCTACGCCTGACAAGCTTTCGCGCCTGGCACGTCTGTTACAGTATGTATGCACCGGTGTCAGACATTCCCAAGGAGATAATTAGTCATTTTTGGCGAACAGGTGAAATATCTGAGAGAGCACGACAAAAGGGACAGCAGTATGCATTCGAGGGATATATCCACGACATAATATGCAACCGATTAGAAAATAATTTCATCAAAATTGAAGCTAAAGCATAGGTCACAGCGCAAGCAGCAGCCGCCTCATACGCTGACCATTCAAATGGGAAACACACAAATTGAGGAACAGCTATGTTCATGCACAGCAGGGTAAGTGAAATTTGAAAATAATCTAATAATTATAAATCAAACAGCTTATCCATAAATCTTGTGGAATAAACACAAGACATTAGCCATATTTTTAGCGCGCCAGGCTACTGCTCACACGTCGCGGGTCTAATCTACGCCTTGGACCTGGCACGAGCCAGAGATGCTGAGCTGAGCCATTCATCATCAACAACACAAACAAAGTCCTCCTGCACGAGTCTACCACAGCAGTGGCACAAGCCAAGGGGTAACAAAATAAGGGCAGTGCCAATATCATCGGTAGTTGTCGCTAAAGCCAATGAAAACCGTATGCGGCGACCAATCGACTGTCGGTATGCAGGAAGCAGGTAAGAAAAACCCTGTCATTTTGTGAAATATTATTGCAAAAACAGTTTATATTTTAATATACTTTAAAATATAATTTATTCCTGTAAAGCAAAGCTGAATTTTCCTCAGCCATTGATCCAGTCTTCGGTGTCACATGTGCCTTCAGAAATCATTCTAATATGCTGATTTATTATCAATGTTGGAAACAGTCGTGCTGCTTCATATTTGTTTGGAACCTGTGATATTTATTTCAGAAATCTTTTATGAATACAAAATTAAAAAGAACATAATTTATTCAAAATAGAAATCTTGTGTTACAATATACATTAACGTTCAAACGTTTGGGGTCAGCAATTATTTTTCTTTCTTTTTTTTTCTTTTGAAACTAATGAATACTTTTATAATTAATACTTTTATTCAGCAAGGATGTGTTAAATGGATAAAAAGTGATAGTAAAGACTTATATTGTTAGAAAAGATTTCTATTTTAAATAAATGCTGTTCTTTTTAACTTTTTCTTCATCAAAGATAAAAAAGGATCACAGGTTTAAAAAAAATATGAAGCAGCACAACTGTTTCCAACATTGATAATAAATCAGCATATTAGAATGATTTCTGAAGGCACATGTGACACTGAAGACTGGAGTAATGATGCTGATAAAAATTCAGCTTAGCAATAAATAATATTTTAAAGTATATTAAAACCGAAAACCAATATTAGAAATTGAAATAATATTTCACAATATTACTGTTTTTTTTGTATTTTTGCTCAAATAAATACAGCCTTGGTGAGCAGAAGAGACTCCATTAAAATCATTAAAAATCTAACTGATCCCAAATTTTTGAATATGTATATATACAGTACTGTGCAAAAGTCATAGGCCACTAGTATTTTCACCAAAAAAAAAAAAGTTTTAAGACTGTTATCTCTATCTTTTGCTGTAGTGAGTCAGCAGGAAATATCAGTTTACATGAGAAAACATTATTTTTGCCATTAATTGTAATTGCAAACAAAAATCTCACAGGATTATTAAAATTTATGGCAAAAATAATGTTTTCTAATGTAAACTGATATTTCCTACTGACACACTACAGCAAAAGATAGAGATGACAGACTTAAAACCATTTTTTTTTGTTTGCTGAAAATACTAGTGGCCCAAGACTTTTGCACAGTACTGTATATGCGCCCACAAGGCCATTGGTGCCGACATAATTTGATATTTTAGATTAACTGAATATTTGTTGATGGAAATGTTAATTGCTGCAATCAAAACATTCTGTTTTTTCATTTGTAAGCAGTTTTAATGTCAGTACGATTAGTTTTGTTACTTAAAAAAAGTAATCTGATTAACTAATTACTTACAATGCATTGCCTCCAACATTGTTTTTAAAATTTTAAATTACTCATATCGTGTAAGATTTTGGTCATTTAATCCCACAAGTGAGCAGCCAGGGATGACTGTGGCAAGGAACTAAAAAACGCAATTTTGGTGTCTTGAATGTTGTATTGCCTTTTCTCATCAAATGTTTTAGTTTATTTAGACTTTTTTTTTATTTTCATTTTGTACAGCCAGAAAGCCAGAAGAAGTGATTAAACGCTACAAAGAAGTACTGAAGACTTTCAGAAAAGTGAGAATGTCTGCAGCCTTCCATCGACATGGGTTGGACAGAGGAACTATTGCATCCACTGCTTCAGTTGCAGAGCTTGCAATTGCAGATCCTGGTTTCTACCAAGAGATTAAAAAATCTAACAAGGAAACCCTTCTTGATTTTGCCAGAAGGTGCAATGCAATGATGTCTGCTACTACGAAGCAAAAAATAGATGAAATGAAAAAAAAATAATGAGCTCTTTATTTTTAGCTCTTTATAACCCTTTCGCTAAGCCCCGCCCTCCTTAGTTACTGTTGCTACGCCTGACAAGCTTTCGCACCTGGCACGTCTATTACAGTATGTATGCACCGGTGTCAGACTTTCCCAAGGAGATAATTAGTCATTTTTGGCGAACAGGTGAAATATCTGAGAGAGCACGACAAAAGGGACAGCAGTATGCATTCGAGGGATATATCCACGACATAATATGCAACCGATTAGAAAATAATTTCATCAAAATTGAAGCTAAAGCATAGGTCACAGCGCAAGCAGCAGCCGCCTCATACGCTGACCATTCAAATGGGAAACACACAAATTGAGGAACAGCTATGTTCATGCACAGCAGGGTAAGTGAAATTTGAAAATAATCTAATAATTATAAATCAAACAGCTTATCCATAAATCTTGTGGAATAAACACAAGACATTAGCCATATTTTTAGCGCGCCAGGCTACTGCTCACACGTCGCGGGTCTAATCTACGCCTTGGACCTGGCACGAGCCAGAGATGCTGAGCTGAGCCATTCATCATCAACAACACAAACAAAGTCCTCCTGCACGAGTCTACCACAGCAGTGGCACAAGCCAAGGGGTAACAAAATAAGGGCAGTGCCAATATCATCGGTAGTTGTCGCTAAAGCCAATGAAAACCGTATGCGGCGACCAATCGACTGTCGGTATGCAGGAAGCAGGTAAGTTATTAAGGTAAAAATTATGTTTATGGTTATAGTTATGGGATTTGGCAGACGCTTTTGTCCAAAGTGACATACAAATAAAAACAATACAATAATTAAAATTAACAGTGAACAGTTTTAAAATGTTGGTAAGACTACATTAAGGAGAATAGAAATAATAAACAATAATGTCAATAACACACAAATTGAGGAACAGCTATGTTCATGCACAGCAGGGTAAGTGAAATTTGAAAATAATCTAATAATTATAAATCAAACAGCTTATCCATAAATCTTGTGGAATAAACACAAGACATTAGCCATATTTTTAGCGCGCCAGGCTACTGCTCACACGTCGCGGGTCTAATCTACGCCTTGGACCTGGCACGAGCCAGAGATGCTGAGCTGAGCCATTCATCATCAACAACACAAACAAAGTCCTCCTGCACGAGTCTACCACAGCAGTGGCACAAGCCAAGGGGTAACAAAATAAGGGCAGTGCCAATATCATCGGTAGTTGTCGCTAAAGCCAATGAAAACCGTATGCGGCGACCAATCGACTGTCGGTATGCAGGAAGCAGGTAAGTTATTAAGGTAAAAATTATGTTTATGGTTATAGTTATGGGATTTGGCAGACGCTTTTGTCCAAAGTGACATACAAATAAAAACAATACAATAATTAAAATTAACAGTGAACAGTTTTAAAATGTTGGTAAGACTACATTAAGGAGAATAGAAATAATAAACAATAATGTCAATTCAATCAATAGCCTAATGAAAATAAAACAACACTATAATATACAAACCATAACATTAGAGAGGCAGGTTTCCAAGTACAGCAAAGTTTTGTCATATAAAACCCCTAGCTTTGCATTGATAGGGTATTCTTTTTCAGGACCTTCTCAGTTAGAGGAGAAAATTGCTTTATTAAAAAGGCAGACAGGAGCTCCCATCAGCTACTTGGTAAACAGACCCCCCTGTTGACATAATTGTAGGAGGAGAGAGATACCCACTAGGAAGTGGTTTGAGCCATCAGGTAAATGAATGAGAAGAAGCAGTATTAAAGTAGATATTCTTTATTGTGTACTTTATATGAAATTCCCTCAACTTGTATGTACAGGGCAGTGCAGGACAGTGCACCACGTCAGCATGATCTTCCTTGACCACTCAGCTCTTCTACACACAGACAACCTTAATCTGTGATGATATGTGGCTGGAAGTTAGATAGCATGCTTACTACATACCATATTTGATTTATGTTCACAAACTCTTTCAAAATGAACCCTGTGCTTGGCTATTCTTTTGGTCATTTCAACATCTGCATGTGGCATCTGTCTGTTTGCTCTTGCAAAAGGTGGAATGTTAAGTTGCAAACCAATCTCCTCAACTTCCTTCTCTATTAGAAAGCCTTTATCAACCATCAAGCCATCTCCTACATTGAGATTAGACTAGTGAGCTTGGTCTCTGAATCTTAAGTTCAGTGCGGTCTAAGATGGCAAAAGTATTCGGAAATTCTTCCTTAAATTTAGCTGGCATGTTCTCAGAAATAACATCCCTGTGTGGCCAAATAGACAATTTGCCAAGACTATCATACATATAGTCCACCCAATATGCTCTAGGAGAGCCGACTTTTGACACCTTGGCTGTGAGAACCAAGGGCACATCCAAAATGCAGACCAAAGCAATGAGGAGAGGGGTAGAGCTAGAACCTGTGGCAGCGCAGCAGTACTCGAACGTAACAGGTAATCTGGTATACCCTTGCGGCTTTGTAGTGAACCCCCATGCTCCACACCTTGGCACATCCCCAGACAGCAAGGTCGTAGATGGTACAAGCTTTGGCCTTTTGGAAATTAAATGTCCAGCAAAGAACAGCTGCCAAGACTGTCCCTATCTCCAAAGACAGGCAGATGGTAGTTACAAGCTAAAGGAGACCCACGCATATTACTACCAAATAATAGGGCAGCTGGGACTCACAGGAATGCCTTGGTGTGACTTCTTTGTAATGTGCGCAGAAGACTACATTTAGATGTAGAAAAGTGGGGTGAGATGAAATACAAATTGGATTTGTTTTTCTTTGATTACTTCCCAGTTGCAATCAGTAACTAAAAACAGATACCTTACCATAGGTAGAGTCACTCTGTTGTGATGTACTGTGAAATGTGTCCTCAGTGGAGTTTGAGGTGCTGGCTTCCTGTCACACATGATTCAGTAAACAATCAGTTTAACAATTGTTTAGTTGTCTTCATGAAATCATTAATGTTTAACAAACCCTTCTAATAACTTAACTTTTGATAGCCCCAAGGAATAAAATTTTATTACACTGTTGTTTTGTTACAAATAAAATGCACTTTGTATAAAGCATGAGAGCATGCTGTGTTCTGTAATAAATCTCGCAGCCCAAATAAAGTCTACACGGTAGTAAACAGGTATGACAGCACATAAGTGACTACTGTTAATGAACTGATTAAGTTTGCATACCAACCTTTTCCTTGGAGATCTCCGGCAAGCCCCCTGATGTTCCCTCCTCAGAAGTAACCCCTGGAGAGCTGCGATCGGATTGGGGTACTCAGGGGTAGGCCGTCGATTAGCAAAATGCTGAAATATATTTTAAAGTATTTCAGCCTCCGTCTTGCTTTTAATCATCTTATTTTACGTTCAAATATATGCATTATGAACAAAGAACCGTCATTATTTCCAAGCAATGCTGTGCTGAGTTAGCTAGCTAGCTAACATAACATTAGCGTGTTCTTACCTTGGAGCAAACGTAGGTGTTTTTGTTAATCCTGTCGACATTTAGTTGTGAATGGGGCCTCCCACACTGCTTGATCCACGCCCGGCATTTCTCCCCTTGTGTTTTAAGTTTCGGGGAGAGAAAAAATTCCACTACCCCGTCCAAACTTTTAGGAGACCGGGTATCAGATTTGCACAACGCTTCGGCATGTTTCCCTCGCTTGAAAGCAACGTAGGTGTTTTTGTTAATCCTGTCGACATTTAGTTGTGAATGGGGCCTCCCACACTGCTTGATCCACGCCCGGCATTTCTCCCCTTGTGTTTTAAGTTTCGGGGAGAGAAAAAATTCCACTACCCCGTCCAAACTTTTAGGAGACCGGGTATCAGATTTGCACAACGCTTCGGCATGTTTCCCTCGCTTGAAAGCTTGCCAGACCTCCCGCGCCTAGTTACAGTTGCTAAGCCACGATTGGCCTGTGGCGGTTTTCGGGCGAGGCTTGGCTGATGCTTGTTGTTCTTCTTCTTCTTCTTTGGTGTTTATTGGCGGTTGGCAAACCAACTTGTAGGTGCATTACCGCCACCAACTGGACTGGAGTGTGGAACAGAATACGTGCTTATGGGATTGACAATGCGTGGTGAGGTGAGGGAAAAAGAAAAAAAAAAACCCTTTAATATTAAAAATAAATAATTAAATAAACAGATTTTAATTAAATAAATAACAAATTAATACTTTTTAAATTCTTTTACTTAACTTCGTTTCTTTAATAAACTTAATGATGCAATCATATATAGCCTTTTCCCCTAGAATACCAGTTATAGAGAAGTCTTTGTGATCAACCTTCTTTAATAACTAAATAAAATGGCAACTTTCTTTGTTGTATTTCCTGCAATGAAGCAGTACATGTTCAACTGTTTCTTGCTGACTACAATAAATACATTCCCCAGTTGAGTGCTTGCCAATTTGAAACAATGTACTATTAAGTCCTGTGTGACCTGTTCTCAGACGAGTTATAATATTCCCTTCCTTACGGTTCCTGCTCTCCCTCCTCCCAGCACCAACTTGTTTTTGTATATTATATAAATGTCTACCTGTTTCAATACCATCCCAATATACCTGCCATACTGATTGTGCATATTTCCTGATGTATGCTTTAGCTTCTGCTTTACTTAATGGAACTTGTAGATCAACCTGTTTTAATTTTAGAGTTTGTTTAGCTATAATATCCACCTTCTCATTCCCTTCCACACCAACATGAGCAGGAACCCAAAATGAATTGCATTGAGATGCCCTTAACCTTTAAATTATACATCTTATGGAATATTTCATTAATTATGTCCATCCTAAAAGATGATCTGCTTTTTTTAAGTTGCTTAAATGCTTTATTTCTTGCTTTTACAACTGCTTTACAATCATCATTCCACCAGGGTACGTTCTTGATACGTCTAACTCCTGTAGTTTTAGGTATTATTTCCTCAGCCGATTGAATTATTTCATTAACTAGCTTATTGTTGAATATATTTACATCCATCTGGTTTTCCTCTAGTAGAGTCATACATCTATTTTCACAAATTACTTGAAAAACTCCCCAATTTACCTTCTCCAGTTTCCATCTAGGACTTCTCTTTCCTTGTTCATAACATATCTTTGTACCAACTGTAGTCACTACAGGATAATGGTCACTCCCTATTGTAGTATGTTTGATCACACTCCATGTACTGATCCCTGCTATTACAGAAGATACAAATGTCAGGTCAAGTACCGTTTCTGTATTTTGTATACTGTTATATCGTGTTCCCTTATTATCAATGAATTCTTCAATAAGTTGGCCATTCACATCAGTATTATTACTCCCCCATAATGAATTATAAGAGTTAAAATCACCACACCACACTACATTGTCATGCAAATGACCCACAACATCTTCTAAAATGATTTGACTTAATTTCCCACATGGATTATAGTAATTAATAATATCTATACACCCTCTTTCAGTCCATACCTTACTTATAATTGATTCATAATCTTTATTTATTTGTACTACCTTATATTTCATCCCATTTTGTATAAATGTAGCTATTCCTCCCCCTCTGCCAGATTCTCTATCTCTTCTAATTACATTATATCCCTTTATTATAAAATCCAATTGTGGTTTCAACCATGTTTCCTGAATACATATTACATTAGGTTTCTCTATTAAATTATCAATGTATTTCTTAAACTCTTGGCCATTTGCAATTAAGCTCCTTGCATTCCACTGTAGTATGGTCAGTAACATTAAGATGATCCAGCACATGCCTGAGAAGATTGAATACTCGAATCGAATACTCGTTCTGAGCAAAAAAAAAAAGTCTAATGTGCAGAGTTCTCTTGTATTCTTATTACTCACTGTTCTTTCCTGTTTGTGAGTATAACCATTTATAACCAATTGTGAGTACTAACAATCATCTTGAAAGGTACTCATTTTTTCAATAACATTTTAAATTTTATTAATAAATGGCATATTCTATTACAGATGTTATTTTCAATTTCATTTGTAACTACAATGTTATTTGTTTAACCAGCATAAAAATTCTTATAAAAATCTTTCTGTATTTATGTCCTTATTTTGTGACCTACAAATGGGTCGTTTAACATGCTGCATTTATTATCCAGTTATTTGTATTTCTATCTGTATTATGGTGTATGTTAATTTTAACGTCTACATAAGTAGTAATTGAAAAACAGTGTTATTCTGTAATTACTTTAGAATAGAGGGTCAAATTGTCTTTATTAGTACTGTATTAATGGCAGTTTAGCCATAATTATTGGCTTATTATGGTCAATAAACTTGAATATCACTCAATAATTCGTAATTAATGTGGATATAACTTTCACTTTAGAATAGGGGGTCAAATTGCCTTTATTAGTACTGTATTAATGGCAGTTTAGCCATAATTATTGGCTTATTATGGTCAATAAACTTGAATATCACTCAATAAGTGCCATAATTAATGTGGATATAACTTTCACTTTAGAATAGTGGGTCAAACTGCCTTTATTAGTACTGTATTAATGGCAGTTTAGCCATAATTATTGGCTTATTATAGCCAATAATATCATTCAATAAGTGCCATAATTAATGTGGATATAACTTTCACTTTAGAATAGGCGGTCATATTGCTTTTATTAGTACTGTATTAATGGCAGCTAAGCCATAATTATTGGCTAATTCTAGTCAATAAACTTGAATATTAGTACTGTATTAATGGCAGTTTAGCCATAATTATTGGCTTATTATAGCCAATAATATCATTCAATAAGTGCCATAATTAATGTGGATATAACTTTCACTTTAGAATAGGCGGTCATATTGCTTTTATTAGTACTGTATTAATGGCAGCTAAGCCATAATTATTGGCTAATTCTAGTCAATAAACTTGAATATTAGTACTGTATTAATGGCAGTTTAGCCATAATTATTGGCTTATTATAGCCAATAATATCATTCAATAAGTGCCATAATTAATGTGGATATAACTTTCACTTTAGAATAGGCGGTCATATTGCTTTTATTAGTACTGTATTAATGGCAGCTAAGCCATAATTATTGGCTAATTCTAGTCAATAAACTTGAATATTAGTACTGTATTAATGGCAGTTTAGCCATAATTATTGGCTTATTATGGTCAATAAACTTGAATATCACTCAATAAGTGCCATAATGTGGATATAACTTTCACTTTAGAATAGGCGGTCATATTGCTTTTATTAGTACTGTATTAATGGCAGCTAAGCCATAATTATTGGCTAATTCTAGTCAATAAACTTGAATATTAGTACTGTATTAATGGCAGTTTAGCCATAATTATTGGCTTATTATGGTCAATAATATCATTCAATAAGTGCCATAATTAATGTGGATATAACTTTCACTTTAGAATAGGGGGTCACATTGCCTTTATTAGTACTGTATTAATGGCAGTTAAGCCATAATTATTGGCTAATTCTAGTCAATAAACTTGAATATTAGTACTGTATTAATGGCAGTTAAGCCATAATTATTGGCTTATTTAAGCAGTAATTAAATATGATTACTAGCTTATTGTTCAGTCAACTTAATAAATGGTGAATTATAGAAATATATTTACATCACTACACAAATAATCTATGGCTTCTTAAGTTATAAATAATGGCTAAAATGTGTTTACTGTATAGTTAATTATTCATTACTAGCTTATTTTTGTTTATTGATAGCATAAATTTGTGTCTATAAAATGTTTAATAAATTGTAAACAATGGCTAATATGCCCTTATTATATGTTCAGTTAATCATTAATTAAGTGTGTGGTCATGCTTATCTAATGCATTATTGTGAACAAGTTAATCATTGTAACAGAGACGCTGGAGTTTGGTTACAATCCATGAGTGGAAGTTTATTAAAGGTCAAGGCTTTAAACAGATAATCAGAGGGTCAAAGTCAGAGAAGCAAGCAGATCGTTCGTCGTACACAAGGGCAGAAGCAGGCAATGAGTTCAAACACAAACATCAGTCCTATCAGGCGTCAGAACAAAAGGGGCAGAGTACAAATACGATGAGTCAAGAACTCAGGCAGAATCATACACAGGAAACCAATCAGGAACAGAGGAAGAATAAAGCTTGGTAAGGCAGGTAAACTGGCAATACTTTGCAATCAGCACATGGACCGGTCTCAGTTTATATGAGAGTCAAACAGGAAGTGAAAGCAGAGGAAGCAGAGGGAGTGGAGCACGGTCAGTACTCGGGCGAGGGCTCCCTCTGCTGGCTTGACGTTACAATCATTAACTACTAATTTATTTATGCTTAACTAATGCATAATCTGAGCTCCCTAAATGGTAAGTTAATCATTAATTACTAGTGTGTTTGTGCTCAACTAATGCTTAATTGTGAACAAGTTAACCATTAATTAATGCTTAACTAATGCATTATTCTGGACCCCTAAAATAAAGTGTTACCAGTCATATAAGATCTTCACTGCACAGCCTGCTTAGTTTAGGGCTTCTATGAGCATGAGCATGAGTGCTTCTGAGAAAATGAAGAGAAAGCAAGCCGACACATGCTGGAAAGCTTCTTTCCCAGTGAGAGAAAGTTGGTTAACGCAATGTTAAGAGCAAAGCTTGCCAATACGAAACATGTTTCTAACTTATTAAATTAAAAATGTTATTTGCAATGCAGAGAGTCTTTTCTGAAAGTTTCATTTATAGACACACCAAGTCATATTAGATCTTCAATGCA